AAGGGGATTCACTGGCTGAATTTATCAGTTTTTATATGTAGTTTTATATTTCGGTACATTAACGCTGGGTGGCGCCACACGTTTTTCAGTCCTAAGGAGTGCATTTCTCACTTTTTCACTCCTAAGTAGTGCATTTCTCACTTTTATACTGCTCAACGGTAAAAAGACCTACTTCTCATGCTTAACTACCGTCGGTAAAAGAGCCCTTTTTGGGCTTGAGCAATGAAAATTCTATTTTCAACGAATGTGAGTACAGACCTCGCCTTCGGCTCGGCCTGTAAACTTCACATCCATCGAAAACGGAATTTCACACTTCGTACTCTAATATACTTTATGTCGCGCCGTGCAATAAGCAGCCTGCTCAAAACTCGACTTCTGCACGACTTGACATAAAATATTATAGAGCACTCGGTAATAAATTTCGTTTTCAACGAATGTGTGTACAGACCTCGCCTTCGGCTCGGCCTGTAAACTACACATTCGTTGCAAACGAAATTTGTGCCCTTGTATTCTAATGTACTAATAATCGCAATAGTCTCGGCAAAAATGAATAAACTAATTTTTCATTACGCTGTGACGAAAAGTGAACTTTTCGGCACGCTCCGCGTGCCTAAAAGTCCAATTTCCGCCACATTGTGATGAAATAGTATATTTCGTAACGAGTGCAAAAAAGTGTTTTTTAGCTCGTTACGAAATATACTATTTTGTCACTGCTGCTACGTTCAGCCCGTGTCGAAAAGTGCCTTTTCGTTTACTAGTAAAAGAAAAGTTGAAACTTGTAAACGAAAAGGCACTTTTCGACACGGACTGAACGTAGCAGCAGTGACAAAAATAGTATATTATGTCATTAGGACCGTAGACGGAGGTTTGCGATGAGTGTGAAGTTAGCAGCACGAGGCGTCGGAAAGGCAGGACGAGGCAAAGCCGAGTGCTGCTAACTCACAGGAATCGCAAACCGACGTCACGGTCCGTATGACATATACTATTTTTTGTCACGAAGGCCCGATGAGGGAGAGGGGGTGGGGTGGGGGCACAGAAGCGGGGTCCAGGGGCCGCAGGCCCCGGGGGGGGGTCACCCCCCCCACTGAAGAAAAAATAAATGACAAAATAAATAAATTTAAAAAAAAACAAAAAACAAGAAAAAAATCGAATGAAAAATTTGAAAATACCTATCAATGAAACTAAAAAGTAATAATAAATAAACTTTCTAACGGATGCCTAGAAAAACATGGATTTTAAGGAAGAGAGTTGCTTAAAATTACAATAAAAAAAACGAGATTTTGGGGATGAAGAATAATGCTTGAGTTACAGTGAGATGATGCAATAATTTCACAATGGCATAACCTCTACTGTTGTAACCGATTAGTTACTGAGAACGCCACCAGTGCCGCTGAATCAACTCACTAGGCAAGTTACTAGATGGCTCGCTTACCGCGCATGCCCAACCGACGGCCATATTGCCCATATCGGCTCACTTCATATTGCATTTGTACATAAGTCATGTGGGTTACTCATCTAGTAACTGTATAACTTTACGGGTCGACCCGAAAAGTCTCATTTACTATAGCTGGTCCTCTTTACAGTACTCTTTACGGTCCCGGCCAGCTCAGGCCAGCTAATCGCCGTTTCCTCTCTCTGAACACAGCCCCCGTAAGCGCCACTTATCGGGCCTCAGTGACGAAAATTAGTTTATTCATTTCTGCCGAGACTATTGCGATTATAGTATATTAGAGTACGAGGTGTGAAATTCCGTTTGGAGAATTTACTGAATATTTTAATTCCGTACGTTGGGGAATTCGGCAAACAGTGAATTCTATTATATAATAATTGAGTTTCCGAGGAATGACCCCTTGGACAATTTTACCTGAGGTTGCACAACTATTCAAAAGCCTGTATATCCTCGAGAAACTTTCAATGTTCCAAAACGGTCGATCTCTGTTGGTGAAGTTGGGAGATAATGTTTACCCACTATGTGGTCCGGAATTTCGACAGCCAAAAGCTGCATACCTCGAGTGATCTCAAACTTTTAACCCGTCAGTGTTGAAAATTACCAGTAAAGCAGATAAGGGGAAAGAGGGAATTGTGGAGAAGTAGCATCGATTACCTACCGATAATGAAGATGCCAATGAGCCGAACAATTCCAAACTCCATGTTGTTGTAGTTCAGTAGTACATTAGCAAGGTGGGCAGCTAGGAGTGCGTAAACTCCCCCACTCGCCCCGACTAGGTAAACATCTGTATCAAAGACTGAAGTACCGAGTGATCCTGGAACAAATATAAACAAGAGTTTCATCAACCCCGGTTCAACTTTTTAATTCAAACATAAGAGAACATTTTTTCTTATTTTCCGTTTTATTTTAAAACCTGCAATTAGAGTCCGACGAAATATTGCTTATAGCTTTTTTTTTGCACCACTTACTGCGGTGCTAAGCGAACCGCGTTTGTCAGTAACGCAAAAAAATTTGTAGTGTTTCTCGATTTTTTGTTCAGTCAGTACAGCAAGTGACAACGCCATTATCTGTTGTCACTGGTTTTACCGACTCAACAAAAAATCGAAAAACACTACAAATTCTTTTTGGTTGCTCAAAAACGCGGCCAGCTTACTGCTGCAGTAAGTGCTGCAAGGAAAAAGCTATTGATTCCACCTCAAATATTTATATTGCTATTCTTGCTGTTTTTTTGTCAACCTCCCCGGTTGTGTTTCTTTGGGAAGACTTTTTTTTATTTTTAATTTTGCTGTGTTTCTTGGGTTACCGACAAGTCAGTAAAACCATTGAATCCGACACGAAAAGGAGGGGAGGATGAAAGGTTCAAATATTTTACCGATTTTTAGTTCCCAGAAAAGATATCAAAATTAAAAATGAAAAAAGTCGTTTTGAAAAAACACCCGGATAAGTTGGAAAACAAACACGCATTACTACATACATTACTACAAGCCCTCATCCCGCAAAAAACATGAAGAACTCCCCCACAATTTTCAAATAATTTCAAAAAGCAAATCCCTAAATATTTTACCTTCACTTGAATAAATCAGCGCCACCCCCGAGTGTTTTCGCGGTAACTTCAGAGAGCCTAGCTCGTCTGTAAGCAGCTCCCTTTACATCAGCCTCTCACATTCACCCAACAAAACATATGACGAAGGAGAGGGAAGGTCTAACGCGCATTAAGCCACCCCAGCCCAGAGGTGGTAGAGAAATTATCGGAGTAAAAGGAGCAAGTAAGAGAGAGAGTAAATACATGCGTTAGTGACCACATCATGTTCCTCTCCCTTCACCTACTCCGCCAAAAACCATAGCTCAGTCTTCCACATGGAGCAAACACCGCTTCGGCTTGCCCACCTAGCCACAGGTAGATGTAGTACGCAATAAGGTGGAGTAACGGTGTAGAGGTACGTCGGTCTATACTGGAGCATCGCTTATTAATGGCTACGTCTCTTTTGTCCCATTCAAACCGCAACTGCCCCCCCCCCTCCTCTGGCTCATTCAATTTGTCTTTCTCACGCGGATGTGGCACATGGGGTTCAGCTCTTCCCACTGCCACCGTATAGCTATCAAAACTGTTGCAAACAGAAATATTTCACCGTTGAATTTCTTTTTTTCGCACCAGGCGAACAATATAAATTCAAAATCCCTTATTTTGATCATAAGTCTATTTGATGTTACAAGAAGAGGTAACGCAGGGGACATTTGTGCTCCTGCGGACCCTTGGGGCCTTTAGGGTCATAAGGACCATAAGGGTCTCAGGGTACAGCAAGGTTACAAGGGTCAAAATCCCTTATTTCATTATAAGTCTATTTGAAGTTACAAGAAGGGGTAACGGACTTACAAGGGTCAAGAGGGTCAAAATCTCTTATTTTGATTATAAGATTAGTTAAGTTGATTTAGTTTTTGAATTTTTTTTTCGCACCAGGCGAACAATATAAATTCAACTCCACCCCCCAAAACCTATAGTTGTTACCAAAATTATAATCCAATAACGAAAGCCCTCCCCTACGAGGAATAACAAAGAAATGAAGGGAAAAAAGAAATTCACGAAATATATACAATAGTCTCATCCATAAAGATACTCGATAAATTGGGAATTGCCAACCGGAAATTCACCCCAGGAAACATAAATGAGGTTTCGGTTATTTCAAAAGGCTCTTGTTCTTCTGCGCCTCGTTCATTACTACCGCCTCTCTGTTATTGGTATGCGTGGTGGGAATAAACAATGAGGTAAGGATCTTCGCATCACCGCCCGAACGAGAGTATACCTGTAGACATATATACAATTATAAAAAAAAGAGAGAGGAAGGAGGAATAAAAGGGTAAGGCGGCCATTTCGAGGCATATTGTTATCTCTGAGAAGCAGGGATAAAAGTGGGGGGGATATCCTGAAAACGACATTACGTGTTCACGCGTGCCTGGCAAATCGGGCGACTAGGGGAAATAGCGTCAAGTACAATTTAACGGAAGTCATCCAAGGAAAAAGGGTGGAAATAGTGTCCGGAGATAGTCCTGAAAGGTAACTCTTGGATTGACCCCGATTGATCTCGACATCGATTGAATTACAAGGGGAGAACAAAGGAGGGGACACGATGAAGGCAGCCGGAGGAGAAGGGAGAGCCGTGACTATCGTACAATCGGAATATTGTGTGACTCAAACTCGTCTGCCCCCCTCTATGGTTGTTTCCTCTGTCTTCCGTGTCCCTTCTGGGCCAAGCAATCACCGTGGATCGTTGCGTATAGCCTCCATTAACGCGTGACCCAGATTGCCAACTCCGGTGGCTAGAAATCCGTGGTATTCATGACACTTGGACTGGCATCTCATTCAGTCGTATATACGATTTTACGGAGAAATTGATGGGTGTATACTGGGGGTTAATGGGAAATTTCAAATTGGTGATTGCATTTGACATTTGTTTGAAAATTTCATTAATGCCGTCTTCCTATTCCTATTATTGCGCATAATTGCATGCATCCCTTGTGAACTGAATTTGACAATATTTTTCTTGATTCAAGAAAACAAAACAAAAATTGTTCTCTGTATCTTAAAAATCACAAAGTCAAAAATGCATCGAGAATATTCATTGTCTGTGGATTATTGTCTCCATCCATAAACACGATGAATATAAAAATCAATGAAAACAGGTTCATGAAACTCGTTCACCACATTCAACTGTTTATTTAGTGGCGTTGAAAGGTCGAGATTTGATGGAGTATGAGAAAATCGATCCACCAAACAAATATCATCGACTCTGGTAAATTTTCCAAGTGTTTGTGATAGGTGAGAGGTATAATGTGTATAGTTATAAACTCGTGTTACCACAACTCGTGCATGTATGGTACGTGCAATCGGCGTGTACTCCTCTCCCTCTGGTGTTCCCACGCAAGGACAAGCGAGGCACTGGCATTCCATCCTGGCACTCCTAGGTATTAGATAATTACAGTTCAACGTTAGCCTGAGTTTTGTGTCCCGCCTTATACCCCCTACCTCCTCCTCCTCCTCCTCTCGCCACCCACCCAACCCACCTTTTATCCATCCGCGTGCACCGTAACACTTTGTCGAATGTATATCACTTATTTGGTCCAAATGAAACTCGACTGAATCACGTAGTCACACTATTGTCCAACTGCTTGCCACTGGGGGGTAGGTGAGATTCACCTCTTGTTTCTCAGCAACACGGATATGGCACTGGTAGGTACGTGTGTCAAGCGGAAAACCACCGGCCGACGCTGTCCACCGACGCGTAAACTCGAACCACTCTCCCAAACGTCCAACGCCACCGTTAATTAGTACTCCTAATTGGCGTTGGCTTGAATTATATACGAAACGCGTTTCATGACTGTTTCCAGTCGCATATTTAACAATAATCTGTAATTTTACGTTATGAGTTTGTAATATGGATCCTTGGGCGATTGAGGATAATGACCTTAACACCTGCTGCTCACATTTCATTTTTTATTTACTTTTAATTATTTTTTTCTTCAAGGGATGTCTGTATGGAGAGTTCACACTAATGCAGTGTTTCTTTCTCGATTTCTCTTTGCCGGTAATAGTGACATAGACAAAATGTGTCATTCTCGCATTATTTATCATTACTCACTTTACTGTGAATTTATTAATGAGGGATTCTATGAAGTCAAGCGGATTATTTTTTTACTTCTCATTCTGTGTTGATAAACAAACTGAAAAGTCAAAAAACAATTGAATTTTTATATGCAATGATGACATGATTTTAGGGTCTTGGGATGTTTGTTTTTTTATCTCTCAATTTCTTGAATTTATTTTCGACTAAACAGAATTTTCACTCTTTACCCTCTTACGCTTTCATTGGAAATGTACTTATGACAAATAAAGACGAAGAGTGGAAAAAAAACGCAAGATGGTGAAGTGAATCGCAAATCCAGGCGTTTGAGATGCGAAAGTCCAGAGGAATTCCATCTGTCTGAATAAAGCGAGGGCGTGGTATCCTTCCTCCTTCTTCCACACCGAACTGGTGAGTGAATCCTTTCCATTCTACGGGATTTTCGCGTTTGAAATTTCTCAGTTATAAACGAATTTCCTTCGTGCTCGACTGGCATTCTCGAGTACCCCGAAAAAGAGTGGAATAAAGGAGAGAAGGAGGGAATGAGGAAGGAGAGATGAAAGAGTAGCGGATATAGGAAGTGGCGTTATGAGGAGTTTTTTGAGAGTTTTTAGAGGAATGAGGGGGGCTTATAAACGCTGGAGGTAACAAGTGGAACGGGAGTGGCCAAAAAGGCGTTCTCAGGAGACCCTTGTGACTGGCACGCGCTTAGTTTTCAACTATAGGTTTATTTGCATTTTTTTTCAGAGGAATCTCGCAATTTCACTTGTTTTAAACTCGGTCACGGCATCACTCGAGAATATGAATAGAGGGAAAAATTCATTTGAATAGGCATAAACATTCACGACCTAAATGAATATGTTCCATGTGATTACTGGAGTAATTAAACTTTGTAAATGAATATTTCCCTTTATTAATATAACATTTCGAATAGCCCGTTGATTATTGACATATACAGTATATCCTTTCTACAAATATTTTTCGTTGATCAGCACGCTTCTTTTTAAACTCACTCTCATGAAACCAATTTTTTAATTACAATTTCCATTGCATCGTCATTGTTTACATTATCAAATCTCTCTCTTCAATCAAACGAATGACTTCCGTTTTTGGCGTGCGTCGGTGAAGGAAAAAAAATCAACGAAATATGAATAAAAATTATAAAAAAATATATGAAAGCACAAATAAAAGCCATTGA